AGTACTGACTCGGGAATCAGAGCCTCCTATCTCGGAATCCTTCTGTCAATTTGCTCTTTGGTTTTCACCCCCCTAATACTTTAAACCCAGGACTTAAGTCCACGATTCTGTGACTCTGTGAACAATATTCCTTTAGCCCCGTGTGTTCCTTCGGTCACTCTGTCTTTGTCCTTATGTTATAGGAGACTCCTGGCCTCCCCCGAATACTGTTAAGGGGGTGCCAATTTGAACTGATGCGGTGTTTAGGAGGCGTGTTCCGGTACTCATCTATAGAATACTCCTCTTTTTGACTTATTTGGTCGCACCTGGAGGTTAGCTCTATTCCTTGACGGACGGAATATCTTCTTCAATCCATATATACTGACTGAGCCTAGTAATATTGCCACTATACTCCCTCCCACTACGCCCCCCACTTTGTTACCTCGGCTAGAGGCATCTCCCGAGATGTCCTTTAGGGGTTCCCCTTCCTTAGCTAAGACGGCCGCCTTAGAGATCTCCTCTATCATCCTCGTCAGCCTCTCTTCTCCTGTTTCTACTTTGGTGCTGGAACTTGCTTCTGATGGCTTCCCTGTTATTACTTGCTCCGCCCCGGATTCTTGGGGGCCCACTATCCCTGGATCTACTTTCTTAGTCTTAGCTTTTCCGCCTTCGTATTCACAAACTAGATCTTTTATCCCTCCGTAGGCGCCCATTACTCTTTCAGTTATCATTTCAAATATATCGGTCCCAGGCAGGGGGATACTTGGCTGTGACGTCTGGGGCCAGTCCTCTGTGGTAAACCAGGTTCCCATTAGCTCCTTTGCGAAGTTGTCTCCTGCCCACTTCTTTAACTCTTCGTAGATCTTCTCACATGATTGTTCCGTTGCTGGTATTTCGACGTCCGTTGTTCTGTGTCCTCTTTTAATTCCTAAAGCCTTCAATATCAATCTAACTGTCTCCATACACATCTGCAGGTCCTTATGACGAACTTGTCGGGGATATAATGTAGTGTACGTGTTTAAGTCCAGCCATTGCGATTTGTCTTTATTTATTCCACATCGTTCTACTCCTCTGTTGCTGGTCAGGGCATCCTGGAATTCCGAGTACGTACATTTTTCCTTTAACCTCCGCACGTTTGAGACCTGCTGCCATTCTAAGGTACTTATCCAGATCTCTATCCAAATGCAGATTGTCTTGCTCAGCCTTGCAATATAGCTCTTAAAGGGTTCGTCCCAGTCCTCACCTGCTTCTGTATAGTACCAGTTGTTCACTTCTACTGTTTCACCTTGGCTTTCTGTTAACTTACATATTCCTCCCTGTGGGTTGGGCTGAGTCCTACATTTATTCCATGTGCTGGCCCTCTGTCTTAGATGGTTCATCTGGCTGCTTAATATTGAAGTCTGCATCTTTCGCTTTCGGTTGTTCGAAATTAATTTCTTATATTGTTCAACTTCCTCCTACATCCCACAGGGAGTGTCGCCGATTTTCCTCGTCCTGATATTCCTTTAGGTGATGAGCTTCCCGCTATTATCTAAGTCAGTGCCTTGGGAAAATTAGCATGTCATCCCCCACATATCGTTATGTCTCGTCCTCTGCCCCTAATTTGTCTTTGCTACCTTATCCCCCGGATTGCTTGGAATATCATGCTCTTTCCTGCAGGCTTCCTAATTCTTTCCCCTCCTTGCTCTCCTTGAAGCTCCTAGTGGGATACTCCTCTTCACTTTTCTTTTCTTTCTTTTTTGTTAAAAAGGATGCCGAATCTGAGTCTGTCGTTTATCACTCAATACTTCCTACCTGTACTACATATCCGTCCTCCCGATTCTCTGAAGATTATGGTTGTCATCTGTTATAACGAGTCATGTCTATCCGACTTCGTCGGCTTCCTCCATAATCCCCCCCTTTGACGGTTATCTTCTTATCAAGAGAGGATTTTACTCGGCTCCTATCTCATCTTATCTTTGTTTATTCGTCCTTTCTTGGAGAGCCTGGAAGTTCTCATCTCCCTTTAGTAGGTTTCTGATGGGATGCTTCTTTAATGGTGGGGAGATTTTTTCCAGCTTCATAGAAGATTTACTGTTGCCGCTTTTATTTACAGAATTCTCCTCTTTATTGTTAATTGCGTATTCTTTATAGGTTTTTTCGGTTGTCTGTCCCTGTGCGACTTTAGGCAGTTGGTCATCTTAATGCGCGACTGGGGCGATAGCCGTGCCAGTCGTCCTCGACTATTGAGACCTGATATGGTTTGATTTCTTTCGATAATTCTTCTCACCTCTCGGTCGGAGGAAAGAAGGTGACAACTCTCTCTTGAGAAGTCTGAAGCCCCTGAATTAATTCCTTAATTATACGCTGCCTCTTGGTCGTACTTACACTACGTCAGATGGACGCATAGATTCTCAAGTTACTGCTATGTAATTATCAGGTCCTAAGTATACCTTTCGAATCCTTTAGGAGGAGAAGCTTCCTTAATTGCTAGTGGGGTGGTCCTGACTCTCCGCACAATCCCAGATAGTATGACGTAGTCTCTTCTCCATTTTCGGATCGGCTTCGTTGTCTTCCCTAGAGGAGAAACCTAGGCTTCCTGGATTAAGCTCTAACTCCTTTGATTTTAGTCCCCTGGGGGTTCGATTGAGGGAATATCCTGCTTTTTCTTCTATAGAAGACTATCTCTATTCGTTACCTTACTTATGTGTTAAATGGAGATTGGAATTCTTAGTTTCATTAATCCTTCTTGTATTATTGCCTCTGAGTTGCCTTTACTCTTCTCATCATAACCCGTGATTGATTAGAAAAGACTTTGAAGATAGCATCTTCTCCCCCCCTCCTACTATCTCCTCGGAGTCGTTTGGGGGGCACCCGTTAGGCTGGCTTAGTCTGACATATTTCCTCTGATGGCTTCCTGTTTTGATTTCTCTTGTGTCCTACCTGTAATGAAGGGGGGGATTCCTTCTGGGGGCAAAAATATTCTGTCCTGGGGGAAATCCGTTTGGAGCTTAAGCCACTTTGGTCAAACTGCTCTTTTTTCTCTTGTTCTCAGGTGTGGTCTTCTCCGTTGCAGCTCAGGCACGTTAGGGCATCTGTAACTTAACTTGGCTGTACTCATTCCTTCTGCTGTGGATTTATAGTTCTGTGAAGCTACTTCCTAATTTATTTTAAGAGATACTTTTTCGTATTGCTTGTTGATGGACTCGTGTCTGAAATAATGTTAGTCCTTAGCTGCATTGATGAGATGATTCGTCCTCTCATATGCCCTCCCTATAACAGACCCTGTTTTGTGGGGTTGCTTAAATTGTCCGTCACTGAAGGAGTGGGGCCTTTTCAGATATATTTTCCTCTTACATCAAATGGATTCCTCTTATCTGATAGGGATGATTACTTTATTCTTAATTATTATCCTGGTAGTCTCGGCCCAAATCTTAACGTTCTCCTCAGATCTACTTTAGGGGGCAGGAACGATAGCTGATTTCCTCAGGAACTCTGATTTGGGGATTTCCTCTTGGTTGACTACTCTAGTTGTTGGAAGGTCCAGATGAGAGATTATCTCTGTTACTTCGGAAGACCTTATAGTCTGTGATACACTTGCGGGGGAAAATCAGGGGGTACCTTATCGTTATTGTTCTTCTCTTCCTTTTTCTTGAACATGGGGCTGTTCTTACTCTTCCATTAGTTGTTTCAACTCGTTTGTTCTTTTGGGTGTTCCCTTGCTTGATTCCTTATCTTTGCGATACTATTTTTATGGATTTTAATATCCCGGAGGGTTTATTCATCTTATTGGTTGCTATTTTGATTACTAATATTCCGAATACTGGCTCTCGTGAGTGTTTAGTTATCGTGGTTTCTGTCGCTCACCCTTCCTGTTATCTTTCGCTCTTCCTGTTTTGGCCTGTATTGGTCGGGTCTGTTTTTTGCACTTGATCTTTGTTTGAGATTTCAGAATTCTTTTTCATCTGCCTCGGTCCTGATTTGTTCTTCATGATGTCGGGCCACTTATATGGTTTTGCTTAAGTTCCTCCTCCTTATTGGGATCCTGGAATATCTTCTAAGTAGACCTCGGTCTTGCATCTGCTTTTGCTAGACATAGTATGGGTATTATTCGGCTGCTTCCTCCCTTGGCATATTGACTTCTAGATCTTTTCTGTGTTCTTCTTTAATTGTCTTTCTCGGAGGCGCCGGGGGTTTTGTTTTTCCCACTTCGTCCGTATTCACATTACATAGTCTATATGCTACTCTAGGTTACTTGGGCCTCAATTATGTTATCCTTAAAGAAAAGAAGTATACATTGGTTTTTATTGGGTTAGTTGGTCTACTAATAACATCTTGAGTTCTCCTATTAGGAGCTGGGGCTAGAAATTTGTTTTGGAGTCGTTAGGAATTTCCCCCCTTCCTTAACCTGCTGGGACTCCTTTCGGCCCCCTGTTCATGTTTTTCAGATCTGTGGGTTTCAGATTTTTCTGTTCCCTATATTCTCATTATACTTGTTCTACTGCTCCATTTTGTACTAGGCGAGGCTTGCTCTCTTCCCTTATTGAGGTTGTAGGACTTCGTTCTTGTTCGAATTTTTCGCTTCCTATTGATTTTTGAGGGTTTCGCCCTATATTTTGGTTCTAATATTCTGTTTTCTTCCTTCGTATAGTTATACCCTCCATTACTCATTCTAGTTTTTTGGGAGGTGGATTATGTCCCCATACCAATTCCTGTTTCTTTTCCCGTTAATGCACTACTCATATACTGCTTCCTCCCCCTGGGTGTTCCTGACCTTATTTGCATTTCTATCCGCTTCGTCGTTCCTCGCGGATTTCTTCTCCCTCCCTATTCTGCTCGTAAGTCATCTCGTGTTTCGCCTTAGCTGCTCCTTCGGGTATTCCCTTGACCTTCCCCTTTTGTTTCGGCGATCTGGATCTACTATTTGTCCTGGAAAATTCTTCTAGTATACTTCCCAGTGCTCTTGTGCCTCAGGAGGATTGTTCACATGTGGTGCCTACTATTTACTTGTTACGCCCCCTTCTGGGGCTCTGTCTTATTACCCGGCCGGGAGCTGAGGGACTTGGGGTTTCACCCTCGGAAATCAGTCTGAGTATTCGAACTCAGGTTTGATCCTTATATTTTCTCCTGCTCTTCTAATTAAATTATCATTTCTGTCTTTAATCTTTTAGTTAAGGCTCCCTTTCACTATTCCATACCCCCCTATGTTGGCTTATCATTCTTCTATTTGCCTGGACCTCAACCTCCTGCGATTTTCATGCAGTGTCCCCTTGAAATCATCTACTACATATTATTATTCTTCAGAATTGAAAGGATCCTATTCTCTGCACTACTCTCCTGTCCCATAAACTATCTCTCTTTCTACTTTCATGGTCTGCTAAAATCTCGCCACGTTTCGTTTGCTTGTTTAATGGCTTTCCGTGGGCCACTAATATTTGTTTCTGTCTACTCCTTTTGGGGGGAATATACAGTGCTGCTATAATCTAGTGCTCACTCTTATCACGGTTCTTAGTCCTATAGTCTACTCTTCTTTAGTTTTTATCCTATTAATCTTAAGGTGGAAAGATTATTTTATGGATTCCAGATATCCTAGGCCATTTCTGAACTCTGCCCTTAGTCTTTCTTTCTCTATCCACGGCCCATTCGTGACTTTTAAGCTTTTTGGGAGTTCTCTTATTAACCCTTCCCCTCTATACTAGCGTTACTTACTTTGCCGTTCCCCTACTTATATTAGTCCATTCTAATTACCCTCACTATCCTTGACTCTTTGGCAGGGGGGGAAGGCGTCTGATTGCACTGTATTATTTAAGGGGGAGCCTTATAGCTTCACTTGTGAAAGCAGTCCGGCTCTGTACTGATATATACTGTCCCGTCCTGCTCTACTTATCCTTACAGCTTGAACCCCTGTTCCATTTAGGTGGAGGGGAGAGTCAAAACTACTTCGTATTCTGGTTCTCTTCCCTCCCCTTCTTTTGCCTGATTAAAATACGCCTCTTCCTCTCCCACTGAATCCCCTTTTATTCCTATTAATCATCTCTTTCATATCCGTCATCTTCCTTGGGGCGGCGTATTATTGTGAGACTATATTACTCAGGGGGACTCCTGTTATTCTCCTTCTAGGATTCAGCTTGCACTTGGAGATTTCCGTTCTAGTGCTAGTCTTCATTTTTGTTGTCCAGGAATTTAAGATTATTGGCTTGTTTGGTCCCGACTTAGTAAGCGAGGCTTTACACTGGGATACTACTTCATCTGTATCTGTCTCATCTGGTGGCTCCCAGAGAGTTGTCCTTTCTCTTTGCTTCCTCATAAGCAGCTACTCCGATTTTTCCCCTCTAGGTAATCCCTATGTCGGCCCCTGAGTCTTCTCGCCCTATTGCGGAAGGGGGATTCATATTTTCCTCACTCCTTCCCCCACACTACTCAGTCATCCTGACAACTACTGAGTGGCCTTTCCCCCTGCCTCCCCCTGCCCCTCAGATACTCTTCGTGCGCTAACGGTTTCTTCTCATATTCGTTTTTCTTTGGACTGTTTTCTTCCCTACGTGATCTGCCCTGTGGCGGGGCCTTAATTCCTACTTATCCACCTGCTTTCCACGTAATTTATCTTTGGCCCCCCGTCTGGTCTGGTTCTTATCCGCTCTCTTATTGTATACTACTTCCTTGTTAAAATTTACCCTTCCATTCCTCTGGCGTTCCCTTTCAGGGGCTCTGCGCATCTATGGCTCATCCGTTTAGTTTAGCCATATGTCCTTAGTTTTCTAAACTACCTGCTCCGTCCTTCGCCAGTTCCATTGCCTGCTGCGCTTCACAGTGCCTTGTTGTATTGCATTCGCGCGCTGTCCTTCGGGAAGGCTTTCTGTTCCCCCCCCCCTAGTTATTGCGGAACCTTATGTAGCCTGATTTCTGTCCGGAATTGGTTGGCTTGGCGAGTCCCTGGTCTGCCTTCCTGTTTTGGCTTTTTTCCATTTCAAATGCTTCTTGATTACGTCATCGGCTAGGCCTTCAACTGTTCCTTCTTAGTCAGATTTAGACTCCCTGGGATTGGGGCTGTGGGTTACCCTTCTTCGCTGTTTAAGGTATTCCTCTTCAGTCAGGGATGTTTCCCCCCTTCTTCCTGCCAAACTCCTCAGGCCGCTTTGTTGTTCACAATCTAGTCATTCGTGTGTGGCTGTGAGTGCTGGAATCCTCTTCCGACATCTCTACTTTTCGTGGTTTTCACTCGTATCCTTCAACGGACAGCTGTTTTCATAATTCCTCCATACTTTCTCCTGTGTACTGCTCTATCCTTAGAGGGCTCTGCCTTCTCTACTTTTCCATTCCAATTTCCTCGGCGCTTTTACCTCTTGACTCCGGGGATTACGTTCTCTTTCCCCTTCCTATCGTTAATCATCATATGGCTCAAGGGGTTCCAGCTCAACATCCTCTCGGTCATAGATACTTTCCGTTAAATAACTTGACACTCCCTTCCGGGTTTGAAGCCTTCTTCCTCTTCTCTTCTACCTGGACTTGTATTTTATACCTTATTAGATTCCAGGGTAGGATTCGTTTTTCTTCTTTAATCACCCCTTGTTAGATCTTCCTTTGGACTCCTTGACTCAGGGGTTTCCTGTTGTTCCACTCCCCTAAGTCTCTACTCTTCATTCTCCACTCCCTCTATTCTTAGAGATGTGTTGGTTTTTTGCCTCAGTCCGCCATGCCCCCTGCCCCCCTCTTGAGCCCGGGGGCCATATCCTCCTTATTAAGGCGTGCTTTCTTGTAGTATTCTGACTATTTATCAGTTTTTTCAGTATTTATTTGGCTTTTATTCGCCCCTGGGGTGCCCTTAGGTGGAGTTCTTAACCCTCCCTAGGCTTTAGTGTCTCCTCCCTTTTATGTTGTATTCCTATTCTTCTGGTTCTTTGGTTCCACGGTCATCTGCTATCTTATACTCGGGTTGTCTGTCTTGTTACTCTCCTGAATTAGTCTTCTTCCCGCTTCCTGTTTCTTGAGTCTAGGGACCTATAGTCTTATTTCACTTCTTCAGGGTTATTACAGTGTCCCTTATGATTGCCTTTATCATCTGTTGTTTTAATTTTGGTAGTTGTTGCTCGGTAGGTTTCGTATCTTTCATAGATACCCGTTAAATTTGTTACGGATCTGTCGTTAGTTTCTCGGCTTCAATATACTCACTTCTATTGTGGCCACACGTGACCCTGGCGTCCTGGCTCTATTTCCTGATGGCATATATACTACTATTTCGCTTACGGTATAATTATCTTCACTTGTCGGGCTCCTAGATGTGCTCCTCATTCTTTTAATAATATCTAATTTTAACTAGGGGATCTTATCTCCCTCCCTTTGGTTTTTTGTACTTTGTGATACTTCCATTTTTTCCCACTCTTGTTTTGGTACGATTAATTCTTCTCCCTCCACTTCAGCGCCATGGATTGCTTGCCATATCAACTTGCCTTTCTCCCTATTCGCAAGGCTAGGGATAAGATAGTTCTGTATGTTCCTGATATTTTTCATTGGTCTAGCTGCATATTTTTCGTTATAATTCGAATTCCTTTGGTTATCCTTATCGTCTCTTGCTGTTCCTTCCTTTGTGCTTGCCGGTCTCCTGCTCCTCTTCCCTGGCTTGCTATTAATTACTGTATAGTCATTTTCTTAAAATTCCTTCTTTGATCCCCAGGTTTATACGTGTTCCTGGCGTATATGTCCCATTACTTCTGGTTGGGTGCCTAGTCCTGCTCCTTCCTGCCTTCCTTGTTCTCGGGTGTCCCTGGTTCTTGTCTGTTTTTTCACGCCCTGTTTTTCTTCACACTTTTGCCCCCCGTTCAATGGGCCAGATTCGTCGTTGTATCTCCTTACGGCGCAATTGGTATATTTTCCTTCATCCCCCCTTTCCTCTTCGGTTGCTCCATGCTTTGCGTCGCTTCCTCTCATAATATACATTCGCTTCCATCAGTAAATTCTTAATCACTACCTGAAGCCTTCTTCCTAGCTCATCCTCTTCCTTTCTTTCCGCTTTCAGGAAGTCACGATAAGTCGGCCTATATTACCTACCAGGATATTCCGTATAGCAAAGAAAATAGCATATAAGCCACAACATTCTGTATCCAGCTATTTAAACAGTTATTCTTCTGCCACCTGGGGGGTAAATGTATATTATGATAATCTATCGAAACATAAATATTCCCCTTTTTATTCAGATGATCCCCATAAGAACTCACCAATATTTCGAAAAATTTAGGTTAAGTAATCACGTGCAATAACACACAATAGATTCATAAAATTATTTGACGTATTATTAAGGGAGGGTACTTTTCTATTATCGTCTATATGCCCATATAGCATTACAATTAAAACTCATATAAAAAACATATCACTGCCAAAATGATCATGTATTTATTGACTTCTTGTCACTTTTCAGAAGAACCTCATAACTCTATGGTGATGTAAGACTCCTTTATAGGACATGTCTTTATGTCAATAGGGAAATGTATTCATCGTATAGGCATATACTCCCTTATTCATAAAAGGGGTTATTAATACCACTTAACATTCTACATCCTCCTGTGGTGAATAAGGAGACGCCCGTTATAGCATCATCTATAGTCATAGATACAGACAAAAATGAAGTTACTGTACGACTTTTTATACTCCATGGACTCAGCACAGAATCAAGATATTATCTGTTCTTATTCCTTTGTTTATATATTAGAAAACATGAGACCCTCGATTTCATATATCTATTTTGTCAGAGGGAAAGTTGTGCTGCTCACATTATTCCTTATTCGTCACCCCTATTGTGTTTCTGGCTTCTACCTTTGGGTGTAGTGTGTAATTTTCATCCCCTGAGCATCCTTCCCCGTTTCTTCTCTTCTTATGTTGTCTCTTCTGTATGTATTCATTATGTACCTTCGCTCTTAGGCATTTTCACTTTGATCGTCATGTTGATATTCCCACCGGCTCCTCGGGTATCCATATTGTCCTACATATACTTCTCCTCGTTCTCTGTTGCAGATAATTTTCTTAAATATGTCAGTTGTATTCGTATAGACATTTTATTATAGTCATCCACTCCTATAGGATTGCTCCCCCCCCTTTTAGATTAATGATTTTTTAATATCTTATGTGTATTCTTATTCTTACGCTCATTTTATCCTCTTTGCGTTTTTTGATGTTACTATTATTCCTAACTTTGCATGACAAACGTCTTTTTCTATATAGTACTATTACTTTTATAATTTCCTATTCCTCCTTATACTATAAGAAGTTTAATCTTTCATTTTACATAATTGTTATATTCTAATAGTACCGCATCGATTCCGAGTCCTGTTAAGAGAAAAATAGTACAACTTAAGGCGGATGGGCAAATCTTCCGTAATTATTTTCTCTTAATAGTACCCAGATAATTATTGAATCTATATTACACTAATATTGAGAGGGAATAATCACATTTCACGACGTATTACTGTACTTACAGTGTTACTCTGCCTATAAAAAGTGCTTCCTATATATAAACACCCTTGGTATCTTGAAACCCCTTCCAGTGATAGTCTCCCTCATTTTCTTCTACAGCAGGAATAGCACTAGGATTGGTATATGAGGACTCCTGGAAGGGAATTATTCTACAAGCCAGTTTATTGGTGAAATGGTATGATTCTTACAACTGCTGCCCTCGTCAAAGAATTCGACCCTCTAAACATTTGTACTATTTTAAACAATTTTACTCCTCACACAGCACTGTTCTACATAGAATATTACCCTTGACAGAAGCTTATCCTCTAAACAGTTGTTGTAAGGCTAATTCTTACAGTTAATACAAATATACCGGAGGCCTCTCGTACTTTCTATATATGTGTAACGGTTAGTGATTGGAACCCCTCCGAGAATACCGCTGCATCCACTCTATTATCTCCTACTAAATATCTCCTTTTAAATTATGGTGCTTCCTGCTTTAAATCTTGACGACTCCATAATAGGGATTCTGGTGATTTTCCTACTTTTTATGCAGTGATACTCTAGAGAAATATCTCCTTCTCACAAACTTAATAATGGTCGCGAAAAATGTATTCCTTATACATTAGTCTTCCTACGAAGTGTATATCCTTCACCTCATTGTATCCTTCAAATAATGGCACTTGTTGTCCTAACTTCTCCATATAAACGTATTCCAGTCATAGTCATAGAACCCGCACGATTATGTTCCTGATATCATGGTTCCCCATCGAGATGTTTTATCTTCAGCCAATAATAGTCT